GTCCATAAAATGTGTCAATCATTCAGAGATGTCACTTCTGGAGCCGCCATATTGGAGCCGCCATATTGGAGCCTCGGCTCCGTGTCTGAAGCCTTCGGGGTTACAATAAGTTGATGTTCCTCCAATAGGAACCCGATATGATGGCCAGGCATTGGTCACATGACCGGTCACAGACCACACTCTTTCCGATATACAAATCATATCACCTACAGCCAGAAAATGGCCCCCTGTCACCAAGACATTAGGGGCCCCTCCACCCTTTTATATACAATAGGGGCCCCTCTACACATGTACATTCATTAGTACATTCACTTGTACAGTGAGGAGGATGATGATTGGCTCCCCGGCAGATATCATTTGTATCATTGGAGACAGAATATCCCCCAAAGGAGGGGGGACGGGCCTGTACTCGGGCCTGTACATAGGCCTTCCTGAGGAGGGGGACGGGCCTGTACATGGGCCTTCCTGAGGAGGGGGACGGGCCGGTACATGGGCCCTCCTAAGCAGGGGGACCTTGCGGGCGCTGCAGGATCTCAGTCCATGGCGGTGTATTGTGTTACCAATGGTGTGTTTGGTGGCTGTGGTCCCAACTGCCCTGAGGTCATTCACAAGCTCCTCCCCCCGTGTAGCTCTGGGCGGATCCCTCACTTTTCTCATCCTCACCCCATGAGGTGATCCTCCATGGAGCTCCAGGCTGAGGGCCATTGATGGGTATTTTGTATTCCTTCTCCCCGAGCTTCTTGCTGAGAGTCTTGTAGCCCATTCCAGCCTCGGGCAGGGCCACGGCCCCCGACCTCCTCTGGCAGCTCTTTGGTCTTGCCTATGGTGGGGGAGGGGTGATGGAGGAAAGAGATTCTGGGTCAGGTGACGTTAGGAGCACCTTCTTGAAGTGACAGGACTCATCTGTGTACCACATGGCCAGTCTGTGGGAGGAGCCAGTCTGTGGGAGGAGCCAGAATGATTGTTGGTTGGTAGGGGAACAAAAACTCATTGTACTCCATTGATAACATTTGTGTCATGTGACCTCTGATATCTGCTGGGGAGCCAATAATTATTCTCCTCTCTGTATGCACAATAGGGGCCCCTCCACACTTTACATGCATTAGGGGCCCCTCCACACTTTATATGCATTAGGGGCCCCTCCACACTTGACATACATTAGGGGCCCCTCCACACGTCGCGCGGTCTGCTGTACCATGTCGATGATCTGGGACAGAGTGACCTGCAAGGTGACATTCATGGCCTTGTCCATGTCTTCTACGGGTCGAAGCGCGTTGGAGTAATTCATAAAGAGATCGTTCATCAGTTTGTAGGCGAATCTTCCCTGAGCCGGGAGAACCCCTGAAATGACAGCAAGAGACCATTATAGGGGCGGAGCCACCGAGGACCCAATCCTTCCATCAGCTACTGAGCTCTGTACACAGCCAGGAGGCTCCGCCCACTGCAGATACAATGTGAATCTTTACATGTTACAATCAATACAAGACACTGCCAATGAGGGGCCCCTACCGAAACATCAGGGGCCCCGAAACAAGTATAAAGCTCTGTGTATTAAAATAATGTTT